CTGCACGTACGTCATCCGCACTGGTCGCCGCAAGGGACAGACGTGCGGGAGGGCGCACACTGCGCAGCGCTGCTTCTCTCGCCTAGATGACGCGTGGCGTGCTCGGTTTCCTGACGCTCCTGAGCTCCCTCAGTGGGCTGATCTCCTCAAGAAGGATATCGATATCTATGCTCTTGATTTTGATGTTATTCTCAAAGCCATGTATGCATTGACTATTAGTGGAGAGGAGGACCAGTACCTGTGTGTTCCGCCTGACCCAGGCATCCGCACGAGTGAGGCTGCCGCCCTAGGTGCTTGCGTGTCTGCTGCCCCAGGTGCTAGTGAGGCTACTGCTCTAGGTGCCTGTGTGTCCGCCACCCCAGGTACTACTGAGTCCACTGAGGCACTACACACCTTCACTCTAGACTCAGGCGCTTCGCACTGTTTCTTTCGTGACCGCACTGCTCTTGAGCCCCTTGCTCGACCAGTCGCTGTCTCGCTCGCCGACCCCTCTGGGGGTCCGGTCATTGCGACCTCCTCCACTGTCCTTCCTTGTCCTGCTGTCCCGTCGGGCACACTGTCAGGTCTCCACCTCCCCTCGTTCTCTACAAACTTGGTGGCGGGTTGTGCGCTTCAGGATGGGGGTGTTCACCAGTTCACCCCTGCCTACGAGCGCGTGACACACTGCACGTGTGCTCGGACGGGCCGTCACCTGGCTACCTTCACTCGGCAGCCGGGGTCGGACCTGTACACACTGACCACTGAGTCCCCTCAGGTAGCGGCGTCTGCGTCTGCGTCTGCGTCAGGTCAGCTGTCTGCCCCCTGCTCGTGTCGCTCTCTAGCGCACAAGACTGTCCTCTTGCACCACCGACTTGGTCACCCGTCAGTGCAGCGCCTTCGGGGCATGCACTCCCGGTACCTTGTCTCTGGTCTTCCTCGGGTACTTCCTCCCCTCCCACCCTCCCTTGCTCCTCCTTGTCTTCCCTGTGTCGAGGGGCGGCAGCGCGCTGCCCCTCACTCCTCCTCGTTCCCCGCGACGACTGCTCCTGTGCAGACGCTCCACATGGACGTGTGGGGCCCAGCCCGCGTCCGTGGTCAGGGCCAGGAGAGGTACTTCTTGATCGTCGTTGACGACTACTCGCGCTACACCACGGTCTTCCCCTTGCGCACCAAGGGTGAAGTCCCTGATGTCCTGATCCCTTGGATCAGCAGAGCACGTCTTTAGCTGCGAGAGCGTTTTCGCTCGGAGTTTCCTATCCTGCGCTTGCACTTTGACAGAGGTGGCGAGTTCTCCTCCGACCTCTTGGCAGCCTACTGTGCCGAGCACGGCATTCGCCAGTCGTTCACGCTTCCGGCCTCTCCACAGCAGAATGGGGTTGCTGAGCGCCGCATTGGCTTGGTCATGGAGGTCGCTCGTACCTCCTTAGTCCACGCGGCTGCCCCCCACTTTCTGTGGCCGTTTGCGGTCCGGTACGCTGCGCATCAGCTGAACCTCTGGCCCCGTGTCTCCGCTCCGGAGACCTCGCCCACACTGCTGTGGACGGGGGAGGTTGGCGATGCGTCACGCTTCCGTGTCTGGGGATCCCGAGCTTTTGTTCGCGACACGTCTGCGGACAAGCTCTCCTCCCGCACTGCTCCCTGTGTCTTTCTTGGCTTTGTCCCGGATGCATCTGGCTGGCAGTTTTAGCACCCCGCCTCGCACCGCGTCTTCCCCTCTTAGGACGTTAATTTTGACGAGTCCGTGCCCTTCTACCGCCTCTTCCCCTACCGCACTGCCCCGCTCCCTCCCCCGCCTCTCTTCCTCGCGCCAGGTGCTGCAGTGGTAGACCCCCTTCCCCCTCAGGGTGCCGCTCCCTCAGGTGTCTCTCAGGTAGACCCGGTTGAGCCTGCCGAGGTAGCTGTCGACTCGCGTCCTGCTAGAGGTGCTGAGCCTGAGCGTGCGGAGCCTGAGCGTGCGGAGCCTGAGCGGGTGGAGCATGGGGGTGCTGAGTCTGGGGGTGCTGAGTCTGGGGGTGCTGAGACTGGGGGTGCTGAGCCTGGGGGTGCTGGGTCTGTGGGTACTGAGCCTGGCGTTGCTGAGTCTGGGGGTGCTGAGCCTGGTGGTGTTGCAGTTGACTGTGAGGCGCCTGGAGGACCTCCCTCTTCGCAGCAGCTACGTGAGTGGTACTCACGGTACTGCAGCCTCCGGCGGGGTGCGTCTCGGGCTCGTGGTGCTACTGGAGCTGGTACTCGTGTTTCCCCACCACGGCGGGAGCCCTCTTCCCCACAGCTTCGAGAGTGGTACGCTCGGCACATCAGTCTCCGGAGTGGAGCTGCTGGTGCTGGGGTCCCCGGAGTTGACGCTGCTGAGGGTGCTGCGGACCCTGGTGCTGGAGGTGCTACTGCTGCTGGCGGTGCTGCTAGAGGTGCTGCTCGTACTGAGGACCCGGGCGTTGGAGCTGCTGCGGGTGCTGCGGGCCCTGCTGCTGGAGGTGCTGCTGCTGCTGGAGGTGCTGCTGGTGCTGCTGGAGGTGCTGTTGCTGCCGCTGGAGTGGAGGACCCGGAGGGTGGAGCTTCTACTGGTGCTGAGGACCCTGCCGCTGGTGTCTCTGCTGGTTCGGGAGTTGCTGCACGGCCACGGCCGTACTTCGTTCCGCTCCTTCAGCAGGTCCTTGGTCAGACTCCTCCTCCTTGTCCTCCTCTCGCCTTAGAGTGTCCGCCGTCTGTCCAGTCACAGCCACAGTTACCGCCTGCCTCCCCACTCCCTGTGCCTACTCCTTATACTGGTCCGACAGGAGGTCTTGCTGAGAGACGTGAGCCTGCGTCACGTCCTGTGTCACCTGCGTCTCGTCGAGCGTCGCCTGTTCGTGCTGCTACCACTGGTAGTCGTGTCCAGCGTCAGCGTCCTCCTGCTGTCCCAGGCACTCACCAGATGGCACTTTGTCAGTCCACTGCTCCGCAGCGTGTCGCTCTCCCGTCGCCTCCTGCGTCCTCTCTTCCTGCTCTTGCTGACCCGGAGTCAGACACCCTTCGCGCTGCCAGTCCTACTGTCACACGTCTCCTGGCTACAGTTGTCACTGACCCTTCTTTTGAGTCCGCTGCTGCGTCTGCCTTAGTCACTGAGCTTGTCGACTTTGCAGCTGCGTGTCGTCTAGACTACGCTGCGAGTCTTGTTACTGAGTCTGAGTCTGTCTGTCCTCCGTCCGTCGGGGGTGAGTGTGCTCTTGGCACGGACGTTCTTGAGGACAGGCAGGAGGAGTTTGGTTGCCTTGCCGCTGCTTTGCCCCATCTCGTGTCCATGCTTGTTGCCCCTGAGGGAGACCCGGATGCACCAGACATCCCGACCCCACGCTCTTACGCAGAGGCGATGGCCGGTCCCTACTCCTCTCAGTGGCAGTCAGCCATGGACACAGAGATGGCTTCCTGGAAGTCCACTGGCACCTACGTCGACGAGGTTCCCCCACCTGGGGCGAACATCGTCAGTGGCATGTGGATTTTCAGGGTGAAGCGGCCGCCGGGCTCTCAGCCCGTCTTCAAGGCGCGTTACGTTGCACGAGGCTTCAGTCAGCGAGAGGGAGTTGACTTCTTCCAGACCATCTCCCCGACCCCGAAGATGACCACTCTTCGGGTTCAGCTACACGTCGCCGCTCAGCGTGACTACGAGCTCCACTCTCTTGACTTAAGCACAGCTTTCTTGCAGGGCAGCCTGCACGAGGAGATCTGGCTGCGCCGCCCACCTGGCTTCACTGGGTCGTTCCCTCCTGGTACCCAGTGGAGCCTCTGGCGGCCAGTCTACGGTCTCCGCGAGGCGCCTCGTGAGTGGCACGACACACTGAGGACTACACTTGCGGCTCTTGGGTTCGCTCCTTCTACTGCTGACCCGTCGCTGTTTCTACGCACCGACCCCTCACTGCCGCCGTTCTACATTCTCGTGTACGTCGACGACTTGGTCTTTGCCACTTCTGACACAGCTGGTCTCGCTCACGTGAAGTCCGAGCTGCAGAAGAGACACACCTGCACAGACCTGGGTGAACTGACAAGCTATCTTGGCTTGCGGATCACCCGGGACAGAGCACGGCGCACCATCACCTTGACTCAGTCACACATAGTGCAGCAGGTCCTTCAGCGCTTCGGCTTCACGTACTCCTCGCCTCAGTCCACTCCTCTGCCTACGGGACACTCGCTCTCAGCTCTGCCTTTGGATGAGTCCGTAGAGCCGAGTGGTCCGTATCCAGAGCTTGTGGGCTGCCTCATGTACCTGATGACCTGCACTCGACCTGACCTTGCATACCCTCTCAGCATCTTAGCACGCTATGTCGCTCCCGGCCGTCACCGGAAGGAGCACATGGATGCAGCTAAGAGGGTGTTGCGCTACTTGTGCAGTACGTCGGGCATGGGGCTAGTGCTTGGAGGGCGAGACCGGCCTGTTCTCACTGGGCACTCAGACGCTTCTTGGGCAGACGACCAGGCTACTCAGCGGTCGTCTCAGGGTTACACCTTCAGTCTTGGCTCTGGCTCTGTCTCTTGGCGTTCTACTCGTTCTTCTTCTGTTCTCAGCTCCAGCTGTGAGGCTGAGATCTACGCCACGGCCATGGCTGCCCAGGAGCTTCGCTGGCTCACCTACCTGCTGACTGACCTTGGAGAGCAGCCTCGTTCTCCTCCAGTGCTGTACGTCGACAACAAGGCAACCATAGCCTTGTGTCAGGAGCACAGACTGGAGCACAGGACGAAGCACATTGCTCTGCGTTACTTTCTAGCTCGAGAGCTACAACAGCGTGGTCAGCTTCTTCTGCGTTACGTGGCCACTGAGGCCAACACTGCTGATGTGTTCACGAAGGCGCTTCCGCTTGTTGACCATCAGCGTTCTTGCACTCTTCTAGGCCTTGTGCCGACTGTTCCTCACTTGCTTACTTCTTGACTTTGGCTGTACTGTGATCATTATATATATATACCTGCATGTTTGCCCTTGCTAGGTTGTGATCATTGTACCTCTTGCTCTATTATAAAACTGCATGTGAACTGGTCTTGTGACCACTTGCTTG